AAAGTAAATAAATAAATATATATAAAGAAATAAGATAGTAAAAAAAAAAAAAAAATTCAACAAACAACAGCCATAACATTTACTCACTTTTCGTTTATTGTTCATTAAATTACATCACTTAGCGTCTACCATAGTCACGTTTACTTTCCTAGCCTTAAGAATATTTTTGAGCGTTCTTCAACTTAAACATTTTGAAAACGTAACGATATTTTTACGTTCGTTTATAAATAAATGTTGCAAAATAAAATCCATACATTTGCCTTGATAAAGTCCATCAGGGGACAAAACGCATTGGTAAAGAAAAGTTTTTATTCTGCATTATATATATATATATATATATATATGCATACATATATATCTGTGTGTGTGTGTGCGTGCGTGTGTGTGCGTGCGACATTAATAATTAAAACATTTTAAAAAATCGGATATTAATGTCTAAGTATTTCATTTTTCTTTTAAAAAATGATTTGACAAAAATGCAAGATTACAATGAACATTTTTACTGAACGTCTAAACCCTAATACGATTTTATTGTTCATATTGTTTGTGCTCAGCACCAATATCCAAAAAAATAAAAATAAAAAACAAACAGATATATGACGATATCGAAGCAAAAAATCCAAATGAAAATCAGAAAAAGAAACAATATTTTCAATTTTTTTTTTTTTTTTAAAAATCCCCCCACCCGTCCCGGTATCTTTGATTTTCTTTTAAAATTCTTTTTCAAAAAATGTCTTTTTTTCTTTTTTTTTTTTTTTTTTATTTTTTAAAATTTTTCGGTTACAGATTTGCTTGGTGAAAAAAAGAAACCAACCAATCAGAACCTATAATTGAAAAAAAGTTATTTTATAGGGCAGGGAACTCGAAAAATTATTTACGGATAATAATGATATTTTTTTTTTTTTGTTTTTAGCCATGAATCATTCATCTTTCTTTCTTTCGTTTTTTTTCTTTATAATTTTTTTTTTTTAAAAACAATTGCTTCTTCTCTTTCTCTCTCTTTTATTCCTTTATTCATTCATTCGTTCGTTCAAACTTATTTTTTTTTTATTTTGTGCCCCATTTTTCCTACCTTTCTTTTTGACATTATTACTATTATTATGAAATTTCCCTCCCTTATTTGTGTGTTACATTTTATCTGTTTCATATTCTCATCGTCCATTCACACATAAAAAAACAAAACAAAAAAAAAACAAACAGGAATACATTTTTAAAAAATATGCGGAAACTGGACGATTGTCAGATATTTTCAATAAAAAACTTTTCTTTCCTTGAAAAAAATATTTATACAGTGACGTCATCATCATCGTCATCGTCGTCGTCGTCGTCGTCATCATCATCATCATCATCATCATTACGAAGAACAACAACAGTAACCTTTCGTCACTTTCTTTTCCAATAATCGAAGAGTAATTTAACACCCAAGATTCAGGTGTTAAACAATAGTATATCGGCATTTTTTTTTTTTTTGTAATTAAAAAAAGAAAAAAAAAAAATTGGCTTTGGAAAAATTAAAAAAAAACAAAAAAAAAACTTCTTACATTTTTCAAAAGCGAAAGAAAGAAAGGAAAGGAAAAAATGGGAATGAAAATTATGCTTCTTTCTGTCTGCAGAAAAAAAAAATCTTTTTCAAAGATCTCAGTCGCGTTTCAACCATTTTTCATTCTTTCATAAATTCCAATTTTTCAAGAAAAAAAAACGCAGAATCATTGCATGGAATAGAATGATGCATTATGGGTAATATAGAAATAATAATAATAATAATAATAATAATAATAATAATAATAATAATAATAATAATAATATTATTATCACTATTATTATTATTGTCATGATTATCATTATTATAATTTATAATAGGTATGTGGGTGGATAAATTTGCAGATAAAGGTATTTGGACTTCACATATAAACAGACCATTATTAAATGGAGGATCATACTGATACCATGATAGTTACAAACAATTTTTTTAGACTTATTTGTTAAACAAATGATCATTGTGGTTTTTTGTTGTATTTTAGCTGTATATCACACATATATGTATTTTTTCTTCAATATGCAATTCTGATGCATATCGATTACGCATCAAAAATTAAGAAAATCCCGGAGAAAAAAAATCCCGGAAGTTGTAATATTTGCCTCACATACACATCCTGTTTTTCAGCTGGCGGTGGTGCATGCCGGGAAGTAGCTGTACACATGTATAATGAGATAGAGTTTTGCTTCGTTTGTTTGTTGTGTGAACGTTTCTTTTTTGTTTATATTTCACTTTTTGAATAAACTTGATATCTCAGTCAGGGCCTTATACACCAGCCATACTTTTTTTTTCGTTTTCTTCATATTTGGTTTTCAATACCCACCCATAAGAAGACACTGCGTGGTCTCTCACCGATTTAATCATGACACAGGTTTCTTCTCTCTGTTATAAAACAATAAACCATGGCTTGGTTAAAATTGTATAAAACAGGGACTTCAAATTTGTTTTGTTACAAAAACATATGAGAAATGAGGAGCCGAGAACGTCTGAATAAACTTTTTCGAAGGGCCCATTTAATCCTTGTCCGCCATTTTTAATTTTTTCCAGGATTGGATTAGATTTTTTTAAATCTTTAACAGGTCAAATATAATTCTCCTAAAAACACATGACGTTGCCTTTTAGGGGAGAGACCAATTTTCCTAGTCGAAAGGCAAGAGAAGAAAAGGGATACTTGACAAAATGTACGTACATACATACAAACACACAAATATAATCAATTGCATATACATAGACACATATATATGTAAAAATGTGTGTGTATAAATATATATGTATCTATATGCGTTTTTATGTGTGCTTGTATATAAATATGTATGCATATTTTAGACTTTGTTTTATATATATATATATATATATATATATATATATATATATATATATATATATATATATAAATATATATATATGTGTGTACGTACACACATACATGCTTATATATATAAAGCACATATGAATACATATACGTATTTTGTAAACGTATGTGTGAATATATGGTTAAGTTTTTACAGAAATATGCAAAAAAATTATATATATATATATATATAAATATATATATATATATATATATATATATATATATATATATATATATATATATATTAAATAAGTCTTCCACCGTATTTTTATTTTAATCGATAAGATTCGAATATGAACCATGAGTTTGGGCACCCTCGAACCTTTCTTCAAACTTATTGTCAGTTACCAAGAAGGCGTTTTAATTCAGGTATATATATATATATATATATATATATATATATATATATATATATATATATATATATATATATATATAACGTTTTATCGTAAAAACGTTTTAATTTCAAAGCATTGGTGTTTGGTGGGTGGGGGAATTTTATCCGAAAAAATCAAGCCCGTTTCAACGTCTTTAATCCTTCTTGCCACCACACCAATGAATATGCTTATATATATATATATATATATATATATATATATATATATATATATATATATAATTATATGTATATATATATATAATTATATATAGATATGTTGTCTGTGTATTTGTATTACAAACCACACACACACACACATATATATATATATGCGTTTGTGTATATGTATACGCGAGTATTTCTGTGTGTGTATGGTTTTTTGTTTTGCACGTGTGCGTGTAATCTATGTATATATATATGTCCACAAAAAAGTGGAAAAATATCATTCATTGTTGGTCATCATCAACTGAAAGGAAGTAGATGTAAAATACGAAGAGTTGCTTCCTTGTGATATATATATATATATGTATATATATATATATATATATATATATATATATATATATATATATATATATATATTGCGACCACAGCTATAACCTGCCAGCTGTGTTAATTAATTCTTTTCAAATTTTATTCCTTGCCAAACTTATCCAATTTCTTTTGCTCTGTCCATTTTGAACCCGTGACCATCTCGTATTATTAGAAAAATCAACAGAAATAATCGTTATTTTAATCACTTATTAAATTCTCCGTTTTATTTCATCAATATGGTGGTTTGACATCGGGTCGTGTCCTGCCTTTCTGTTTTCTCTCATTTTTCAGACAAATATTTAACTCCTGTTCAGTCAATTTTTAAGAAGAGTTGAAAACACGCCATTGGCCGGTAGCGTTTACTTTAATGCCTCTCGTCGTCAAAGCTGTTGTTTTCGGAATCTGACTGTCGGACTTTGTACTCGGCTAATACATAAAACACGATTGCCACAACTAGAAGGGTCATGAGGACGTAGAGTTGTGCAGCAACGCACATGAAAGTTCCACAGGCGAAGGCTATCGTCAGGCCAAAACTCTGCAACATCCGGTAGTTGGCAAATGCTACATCCGGTTCATCAAGGCAGGTCAAACAAATTAAAGCTGAAAAGAAAAAAAAAATGGATAAAAGAACTGATTTAAAGTTGGTTAAACACAAGAATTAAAAAAAAAAGAAAATCGAAAAAAAAATTATAAATCTGTTAAAACAAGGTTTCTTTCTTAATTTTGTCTGTTTCTGTTAACATCTATCTATCTCTCAATCTATCTATCTATCTATTTCAGTCTGTTCATTATCTATCTATCTATCTATCTATCTATCTATCTCAGTCTGTTCATATTTATCAATCTCAGTCTGTTTTTATTTATCTGTCTATTGCAGTCTGTTCAAATTTATATCTATCTATCTCAGTCTATTAATATCTATCTATTGCAGGATGATCACATCTATATATCTACCTTAGTCTGTTCATATCTATCAATCTATCTATCTATCTATATATCTATCTATCTATCTATCTACAGTGGGGTTGAATAAGAGATCGTATACATGAAAATATTTCATATTTTTATTTGTAACATATTAAATTAACAAAACGTGAATATATCTACTGTATCAGATTGCATACTAAAAATGTATGCATATAAAATTAAATAATATTCCATGGTTAAGAAAATATAGCAATATTTAAATTTTTAGGGGTTTAAAAAATGATCGTACAGCAGAACAAAAACATGTTTTCTCCGTTTAATATTTTGTAGCAAAGCCTTTATTAAGTTCAACAGCAACCAATCTCTTTCTGTAATCTTTAATTAACGATTCGCATACTTTAATAGGTATTTTGTCCCATTTTTCCTGAGTAATTGTCTTCAGGTTTTTGATGTTTGTTGGACCTCTATCACTGATCTTATTTTTCAAAAACCGCCATAAATTCTGTATTGGATTCAAATCTGGCGACTGACTGGGCCATTGTAAGATGTTAACGTTGTTATTAGCAAGCCAATTCTTCGTACTGTTAGCAGTATGCTTGGGATCATTGTCCTGCTGGAAGATTCAATCAGGAGGAAGCCCAAGATTCTCTACAGAAAATTTCGCTTAGGATTTGTTGATATTTTTCTGCATTCATTCTACCGTCTATAATTGCTAGTTTGTCAACACCTCGCATCGAAAAGCTGCCCCAAACCATGATACTACCCTCACCAAATTTGACAGTTGGTATGGTGTTCTTGGGTGCATATGCTTTACCATCTTTCCTCCATCCATGATTCAGGGAATTGCGACCGAACAACTCAATTTTACTCTCCTCTGTCCAAAGAACTCTTTCCCAATAAGAATTTTCTTTATCTTTAAGCTCTGTCGCAAATTTCAACCTGGCATCTCTATGCCGTTTCAGGAATGGTTTCTTTCTTGGGAAGCGCGACTTTATACCGTCTCTGTGTAGTTCATTACTAATCGTTTGCTTAGTTACGTTAACTCATGACAAACTCAAATCATTCTGAAGATCTTGTCTGATGGCCATTGGGTTATTTTGGACCTGTCGCAGCAACTTCCTTCGTAATCTGGGAGAGATCTTCCTGGGAGCACCAGGTCTGCCTTTGTTCTCAACAGTATTACATCTTTTAAATCTTGCAATAAATGAACCAATTGTTGAAAAAAGGTATGTTCGTGTCACTGGAGATGTTTCTGTAACTTTTTCCATTGTTTCATGACTTAATAATTAGCTCTTTTTGAGCACATGTCATTTCCTTACGTTGAGCCATTATTAGAACCGTTATCAGTGAACAGTGACGGCAGAATGAACCAATTTTGAACTGAATGTTGAAATAGAGTTACTGAGAATATTCTAGAACAGTTTAGAATCTTCTACTTTGAAGTACAACCAAAATCTACCGTATTATAATGCAAAAATTGATACTGTACGAACACTTTTTTCCACTATTCGAAATATAAAAATTTACATAACTATCACTTATCGATGAAATTCTAATTTTAAATTTCAGATTCTGATTCTATGCCCCCAAATACATATATAACATTGTTATTCGAGGCTTTAATCACTTGTATGTCCTTGATAAACCCAGCTAATGCTCTGCGATGGAGCGGCTAAGGATCAATAAGTAGACGTGGTTCTTGGGGCACTGTTCCGAGGTTATCTGAATACTTGGATGAGTGTCGCTGCGGAACTGAGTGAGTAGCGGCGCTATATCGAGTCTAATTTGTGCCTTCTTCGTCACCGGGGTACAGTTGGTATGACGTTTGCGTTGTATCGAAAGGGTCCGGGTTCAATTCTCGGTAATGGATGCGCACTGCTGAGTCCCATATAGGACGAAACGGCTGTACAGTGCTCTCTGCATTATGTTGAGGATTATTCTAGGCTTAGCGAATTAGTATATGATTAGCCTAAATCTCTAAAATAATAAGCAACACACACACACACACACACACACATATATATATATATATATATATATATATATATATATATAAAGATATTTCTGTAGGTACAAAATTTAATGATCGAAATAAAAAGTATAAAATTTAATATTACAAGACATATTAAAACAATATTAAATAATAAAAAAAACACAACAACAAGGGGGGGAAGCAACCGGTTTCGCTCCCGCTCTTCAAACTTCCACGGAGATTCAAAATTAAAACAGAGAAATGTACAATAAGAATAGGTGGAAATATATAATATATATATATATATATATATATATACATGAATTATTCACACAAAACTAATGCAAAGGTTAATGATTTAAATGGCGAGACATCCATCTCGCAAACAATTCAAATAGTACACAAAAACCTCCAGATCCGTTATGAATGAATTGATCCTTGTTTATATAAATTTCTGCCGTATTAGTTGTTATTTTTACTACAAGCTTTCGTCTGTTCCTACTGACATCTTCAGGTATATAATAGATGTTGTTCTTGGTTTTTTTCTCTTAGTAATAAGAGGACATCGAAAATATATGTGTATTGTATCCGAAATGCTATTGAAAATGAGATATTGGTTTTGAACGCGCCAAAGCAACGCTGAGTTTGAAAAATTTTTTAAAGTGTTTGCGTTTATACCAAATATGGTAATGAACAAATTATTTTACTGGTAAATTTTACTGTCAAAGTGGCATGAACTATATTGTTCAATAATTACAGTAATGTCGCACTTATTAACCAAAAGTCGCACATGGATCAGTTATTTAAATTACAATAAACGTGCAATCAATTTACAAATACATGAATTATTCACAAAAAACTAATGCAAGGTTAATGATTTAAATGGATCCTGAGACATCCATCTCGCAAACAATTCAAATAGTACACAAAACCTCCAGATCCGTCGCCATTTAAATCATCCTTGTTTTATATTAGTTTTTGTGAATAATTCATGTATTTGTAAATTGATTGCATCGTTTATATATATATATAATATATATATATATATATATATATATATATATATATATATATATGCAAGAAGGAACTAGAGGCAGATGACAGCTAGTCCCAGCAAACATCCACGTTGTTTGCACAAAGAAGGCTTGCGGGACCCGATGTAAAGCGCCTCCAGAAACTTCAGATGAAATACAGAGTGTGACCGGGCCAACACGGTGAACCAGTCAACACTAAATTTGGCTGCACAATCTCTGCTATTTAAAAGATGTTCGCATATGGCGGAACTGTAGGTGTTCGTTACGACTCCATTCAAAGGCAGGGTGTGGTTTCTAATTTTTGTAGGAACCTGATGCTTTATTCTCATGTCTAAGCGCTGAGTTGTTCTCCCTATGTAGTCGGCTCTGCAACTACAAACGTATTTGTAAACAATTGAATTAATATGGTGGGGGAGATTTAAAGATTATATATATATATATATATATATATATATATATATATATATATATATATATATATATTAATCTTTGTAATGAAGTCCTGTCTTAAACTCTCCAGCCATATCTATCGTTCTTGTTGGTTCTCATCGCATCTGCGTGCCCTTTCTGGTGCAGTAATGTACATATATATATATATATATATATATATATATATATAAAATACTAATAATATTATAACTATAAGCAGCTATACTCGTCCGGTAAAACCTTAGGTGTTTTAACTTGTAAATGAACAAACCAATACCCAAGGGAAAGAAAAAGTGTAAAAAAAGAAAGAATTAAGAACATGTATTTCCGGCGAAAATAATAGTCTAGAATCTAAGTTCAAAGTCGAGTAAATTAATAATAACTAAGGAAAGTGCTCAATACGCTAAGTAGAGCAAACTAAGGGAATCTAAATAGCCAGACAAACCTACCTAGGTTTCACCTACGTGGATCGTCAGGGTAAACTGGCTAAAGAGGTGATATAAGAACAGAAAATATATAGCCTACAACACAAAAACGTGACCAAAAAAAAATAAAAAATAAAAAAAGAAGCTATATATATATATATATATATATATATATATATATATATATATATATAAGGGATTATTTTGGGGATTTTGTATATGTATATACACTCTCTGTATTAATATATAAATCAATGTACCATATCAGTTCGCAATTTCGTATTTATGCTGATGACGCAATCATTTAGTCATGTCTTAGTAATAAGTCTGATTGGCTTGGTTTTTCCACTGGGGAGGGGAGGATCAATAAATCCATATTTGGAAATGCTTAATTTTTAGTGGAATACTTTAAGAAATAACGGAATTTTTAACAGACCCCTCCCCTCACTCACAGAAAAAAATGAAATATAATTATATCTTATGTGAATTGATTTGACATTTGTGTTCAGATTGGTTCATGATGTAAAAAATGACCTACAGTCTGTTGTTTACTGGGGCAAGGAATGGCTTGTTAATTTTAATGCCTCCAAAACTAAACAGCTCTCTATTAATCATCTAAGAGATCTCTTTCCGCTTTTCATCAGCATGGCTGATGCTAACCTTGGTAAGTTGTTAAATCGCTCAAATATACATTTACTACCCAGCACAAGTACTGAACTGATAGCCTTCAGCTACTGTAAACTTGTGCTTTAATAAGTTGACCTGTTCCGTCTGCAGTTGAAATGCTTCCGCCTATTGAGTTCTATATAAAGCTATCATTTTTCAATTGGCGGGCTATCAGTCTGCCTGGGGAAGGCTGAAGAATACATCTGTCAAAATGTGAATAAAAGCAGGAAGGATGAGAATTTTAGTCCGAAGAACATTTATGGAATAATGATGGAGATTCAATAAAAACTTAAAAAATATTATTATTATTTTGACAGGATGAAATTTTTGTGATCAGATCGGTTCCATCAGGTCAAATTGGCGACTGATCTAAAAAATGATCTACAGTCTGTTGTTTACTGGGGCAAAGAATGGCTTGTTAATTTTAACGCCTCCAAAACAAAACTGCTCTCTTGTAATCTTTTTTGCCTTCCATCAGCATGTCAATTACTTATTATGTCTTCTAGGATTAACGTTTTCCGAAGTGGAAAGACTGTATTGAACCAATTGCTAGGTCAGCTGATAGAAAGGTTGGATCACT